GTCTTGTGTCTTAAACTCATCCAGCGTGTTGGGTCTTGTGTCTCTCATCTCTCAACTTTCTCTTCACAAGATCCCACTGATTCTCTCTGGGGTTCAGGTCAGGAGAGTTGTCAGGCCAATTGAGCACAGTAATACCATGGTCAGTAAACCATTTACCAGTGGTTTTGGCACTGTGAGCAGGTGCCAGGTCGTGCTGAAAAATGAAATCTTCATCTCCATAAAGCTTTTCAGGAGATGGAAACATGAAGTGCTCCAAAATCTCCTGATAGCTGCATTGACCCTGGCCTTGATAAAACACAGTGGACCAACACCAGYAGCTGACATGGCACCCCAGACCATCACTGACTGACAACTCTTCTGGTTGTGCAGCATTTTCTGCCACACTTTTTCCTTCCCACAGACTTCCCACTGAGATGCCTTGATACAGCACTCTGGGAACAGCCTGTTTGATCAGGAATGTGTTTCTGTGTCTTACCCTCTTGCTTGAGGGTGTCAATGATGGCCTTCTGGACAACAGTCAGGTCAGCAGTCTTACCCATGATTGTGGTTTTGAGTAATGAACCAGACTGGGAGTTTTTAAAAGCCTCTGGAATCTTTTGCAGGTGTTTAGAGTTAACTCGTTGATTCAGGTGATTAGGTTAATAAGTCGTTTAGAGAACCTTTTCATGATATGCTAATTTTTTAAGATGGGGATTTTTGATTTTTCTTTACTTTTTTGCCAAAATCATCAATATTAAAACAATAAAAGACTTAATGTTTATCAGTACATTACAGAAAATAATGAACTTTATCACAATATGCTGATTTTTTTTTTTAGAAGGACCTGTATTTGTTGATTTGTGCACAGCTCTTTGGCCAACAGCAGTTGTTTTTAAATGTTCTGTATAAATAAACAGAATTTAAAAACATGCAAGAACAGCTTGCTCTGCTGCAGATTGTCCACCATGACGGGATCATCTGATTGTTTCAGAACTAGCTACTGATAAAACACTAATTAGTTCTTTGGGATTCTTGCATTCTGGCAGGCCTGGGCTTCTCGACCTCCTCACAGTGGGATTTGATGGGAACGGCCATGGTGACCCCCGATCATGTGAGGCTGACCCCAGATCAGCAGAGCAGGCAGGGAGCTGTGTGGAGTCGGATTGTAAGTCACCTGCAGCCATTTGCAGCTGTGCTTCAGCCTTTATCACACATCTAACCACACCTTCATCTTCCTCATCCTGACTGTTGTTGCACAGTCGCTCCTAACTGTCGAGTGGAAATACAGTTACTGTCACAGGAAGAAGAAAGTCCACGATAATGTTCAGTTCTGGGGTTTTACATATCAGTCAGGGTGTAAAAAAACAAACCGCTCTGGTATTTACAGGAGTTTAAACATATTCAAATCTAACAGGTTCAATCATGTTGTTGTTTATTCAACCAAAACAAAGCTAACATGTTCAAACTGTGTAAACAAATAAATGGTTCCACCCTGTGATCCAGCAGCCTGTAGAAGCTCCTGTAACAGCAGTATCGGCTCTCTGCAGGACTTTATCAGTCTGTCACATGGGTGTGGAGGAATTTTGACCTACTTATTTCTTTGTGGTGTTGCTTCAGGACCTTCAGGTTTCTGCTGCAGGTTCCACCGCAGCAGCTCAGTCAGGTTCTGGACTCTGGTTGGACGGGTTCAACACCTTTTTGTTTCTTTTCTTTTTGAGGGGTTCTGTAGAGTAGCTGTGAGTTGCCTGAGAGAACACTGTCATTACACCTATAGACACTCATTAACATGAAATTATTTATTCTTTTTGATGATGGGTGAAAACTAGGGCTGCACGATATCAGGAAAACCTGCGATGTGCGCTAACAGTGCTTAGTAGTGTTGATGTCTTTCTGCTCTGGGTTCAGAGCAAATAAAGAATCATTTCCATTCCAGCATGATTTTGTTTTTTTTAATTTTATTTTTTTAGGGATGGCCTCCCTTCTCCCCTTATAGCCATCCCCTCCACACCATTATGTTGTTTTTTTTTTTGAAGAGAAAATAGAGAGAGAGAAAAACAGAGAGAGAAGTAATTAGAAAGATAGAAAGACTGAAATAGCGATTAGGATTATATTAAACGTACACCAACAAAACACAGGACCACACACCCAACATCTGTCCGCTCACCTGAAAAATAAATGGATAAATAAATGGAAGGCATATAAAAAATATACACATACCCATACATATATAAAGATATACATACATGCCTACATTCATAAATATTGTCTGTTTATACACATAGACAGATGATTTTATTTTTTTAAATATGAAGAGATCTATTCATTTGACCAAATACATGAAGTGCTCCATTTGATTGGTCAAATACTTCAAGCTTCTGTCTGAGTGACAAAACTCATAAATTCAATCCTTTGAGTCCAACATTTATTGCACTTTAGGCCGTTTTTTGCAATATACCTATTGAACATGCTGCTGATAAATTTTCGATATTTTGTACAGCCCTTGTGCAAACCACTCTTCTGTTTATCTGCGTTTCTCTCTCAGCCTTTAGTTTTACGTGACTGGGAGCTGAAGGTTTACTTTAAAATCCACGGCCAGGGAAAGAAGAACTTACACGGGGATGGCCTTGCAATATGGCTCACCAAAGAGCGCATGCAGAATGGTAAGTGATGAAACAGCAACACTGTTAATGAAATGTTTCATTTAATACTGACAGTAGCACTTATAAAACACAGATGTTGAGCATTATATTTGGAAAATATGCTCCTGCAGTTTGAAAGACTTAATTCAGACACGTTCACATGATCTGATCACATGTTTACACCCTGTGTCTGTGCAGCAGGAAACCAACACTGTGGAACAAGACAGTTGCAGGAACCAGTTTTTCTCTGTTTTGCCTGCTCCGTGTTGTTTTGTGTCAGCGTTGTTGGAACTTGCACTTTGTCACCTGCAGCTCATCTGGGGTTTTTTTTTCTCCACAAACCCWCAGGCACTGCTGTCATTTAAAAACATTATGAGAGGAGAAAAGCAAGAGCAAGATAAATAGTTTCAGAACTTTAATATGAGCTATAATCTGTACAACTGAACTGAAGAGCAAACAGAAATCTTTTAGAGGGAAAACAAAAAACTAAAATAAAGTGGGTGCATAAGTTTGCACATCCTCTTATAAGTTGGGATGTGGCTGTTCAGAATGAACGTATCACATCAAATTCTTTGTTAAATATGAGTCAGGACCCAGCTTCCATCATTTAAAGTGCCTCTGATTAACCCCAGAGAAAGTTCAGTTGCTCGTATTGAACTTCTGATCCTGTTTGTTAAATACTGATGCATCAGGTTAGTTTGGTGTTTTGTGTGAACCATGTTTCAATGAAAGCAGAAAATGTTTCACTTTGTGACAAAATCCAAAATGCTTAATCAAAATCCTAACCTTTTTTCCAAACATTCAAAACCAAGCAAAGGGGTTTATAATACACTGAAAAAATAAATATATGCATTTGTGGGCAGCCAACGTAGTTCTTAATTCTTTAGTATTATTTCTGTCTGCTGTTTGTTTACTCCTCTGTTTGTGCTCTGCTCCGGCCTCGGCAGGTCCTGTGTTTGGCAACATGAACCAGTTCACTGGACTTGGTGTGTTTGTGGATACGTACCCTAATTCTGACAGAAACCATGATGTAAGTATACTTACAAATGTGGAATGATTTTATCCTCTGTTTGAAGTGAACAACATTAAGAGTGAAAGATCAAACCAGACTGGGTCTGTTGCAGAAAGACCCAACACACTGTGTGTGTCCATAAACTCTGAGGTAATAATTTAACAGAAGTGGGCAACGTCTGAGTTGTTGGGGAAATTTGAGCTCACCAATGTTTGTGAGTTATAGGAGCTAGATTTGTTATTACCACATAATAACAAATGTCTAAAGACAGTTAATAAATAATAAAATTATTACTACTGCTTTCTTTATAAAGCTGTTTAAAAAACATCCACAGTAAAAAAAAATTGGACAGTAATAAAAACAATAAAAAATTGTTAAAAGCAACACTTATGGTGCGTTCACACCAAACGCGATTTCAGCGTCAGGAGCAGCAGGTTTACATACAAAGTCTATGGTGGACGCGCTTCAAGCAACGTCGGGAAGTTCTGCGGCGCCTCAAGCGCGATTAGAGCAGCGCGATTTGAACGATTTGAACGATCTGAGCGTTCGATGTGCTTGATGCACAAATTGCTGAAGTTAGAAAATCTGAACTTTTGCAGCTCGACGCACAGCGTCAACCAATCAGAGAGACTCCACTGTGTGACGTAGCGACATATTTCCCGACGGGACAGTTTACTGAATGATGTCCACTAACCTGAAACAGATGGAGAGGAGCTCTTTAGCTGAAATGAGTGCTGCAGTCGGTGTCCTGATCCGCAGCAATGCGTGGCAGCGACTCATCAGACTGGAAAAATAGTCCTGAAAGCGAGCTGTGAGCCTCTACTCTGAATTATCTGGTGAATTAATTATGAATTAATTATCTGATGAACGTGACATGCTCTTGCTCTCTGTAAATAAAGCAAAGCCACTTCCTCGTCCGACATTAAACAGAGSCCGACAGAGGAGGGAGGGGCGGGGAGCTGCTGCCGTGCAGCGCTTCAAGAGCTGTCCTGCGTCTGACCTCAAAGTGCACAAGCTTCAAACTTCAGCGTTGGCTGCGATTTTGAAGCTGAAATCGTGTTCGGTGTGAACGCAGCATAAGAGCAGTAAAAACAATAAATAAGACAAGGAAGACAAATGTGTTTTCTCATTACTGAAGGTTGTTATGAGAATGCTGTATATACTGTATCAAAAATAAAATTGACTTGGACACATTTAAATGTTTTGACATTCCTCTTTCTTTAAAAACTTCTTACTGTTTCCAACACTCCCACTTCAGCACGTCTTCACAACAACGCTTCATGCCGCTTACGTCCTTTCATAGGAGCGTCTGCATCCAGAAATACATTTCCTTTTTTAATCTGAAAAGCACTGGACTGAGAAGTAGTTAGTGTTCTGGTGAGTTGGGGTGGATAAAGAACCCATATGAGTGGGCGTCTCATAAATGGGCCCATTGCTCTCCCCATAAAGACACTGGTCTTTATTCAAACCTTCATGTCCCTCAGATGAAGGACACCAGGGGCCTCATGCACAAAGACTTGCGTGGATTTCTTACTGAAACGTGGCGTACAATCAAATCCAGAAAATGGTGTACGCACAACAAAATCCAGATGTATCAAACTGTGCGTACACCTGAATCCACGCACACTTCTTTTGTACATCAGAGCGCAGGTAAGACACCTCCCCTGACACGCCTTCATTAATATATGTTAAACAGATGCAAAATACTTCCTGCATGTGTGAAGGACACGTTTGACTGATCCCTGCGTGATCAGAAATGATTTCTAAAGTCATAAAAATAATGAATTTAATATAAAGTGAGTGTGAAAAAAATCCTAAGTAAAAATAGGAATAAAATATGTTTATCACGCAAAAAACGAGTGATTGTGTGTCGGTGTGTGTGTGCGCGCAAACTGTTGTGTTGTGCAACTGGCTCATCACTTTGCGCACGAGTTTATTACCATAATTACTGTAAACACAGAGGAACTTAGATGTTTGGTAGAACATAGATCTTAGTTTATTTCGTAGCTGATATTAAGAAACGAGTCTCTGCGTCTCAGTAGAGTTCACATGAAGTGACGTGATGTTGGAGAGTCTCCACAAACACTGCGCGCCGCAGCCTTTGTGCACAGTCTGTTTGTCTGTCCAGCTTTTGCTCTCCTACTTACAGCATTTTCACAAGTTGTAAAGTGTACTTCCACGTGTCATTTTGGAGAAATCTGCAACAACGTAAACGCAAAGTATGAAACACCTCCACTGCAGGCGAGGGTGCGCGCTCCAGAGCGCGACCATAACTCAGCCTTTAGAATCATATGGATAAGGACAAGGAGCAGATTTCTAGTCCGAGGAACGAAAACTGCTGACTTGGTGTCAATAGACTTTTCTGGGTGTTTACTAAAAACCCTAAAGCCTGAAAGTGTGACAGAACCTGAGACAGCTGATCTAATGTTTGCTCCTTGGAGCTTGCGATCTGAGCCCAGTCATCTAGATATGCTAACAGATGGACMCCYCTTTCCCTGAGAGGAGTCAACGCAGCTTCTACGCACTTTGAAAAGGTGCAGGGAGCTAGTGATAGACCGAACGGTAGCACCAGATACTCATAGGCTACACCCTCGAAGACGAACCTGAGATATTTTCTGTGCTCCGGGTGAATCGCTATGTGAAAATAGGCGTCTGTTAAATCGATGGTTGCAAACCAATCGCCCGGGCTGATCAAGTGAATTAGCTGTTTGAGCATTAACATTTTGAACATGTATGTTTGAAGGTACCGGTTTAACACTCTCAGATCCAAAATAGGCCGCAGGCCGCYCCCTTTCTTCGGAACAAGAAAATAACGGCTGTACAGATCTTTTTGTGTTTCTGCAGCTGGATCCACTCGAATAGCTCTCTTTGTTAGCAACGTGCAATTTTCCTCTCTTAAAATGGCAGCTGCCTCGTCTGTCACCACTGTGTTTACAWTGGCCCGAAAGCGAGGCGGCCTGACGCAGAACTGCAGCCTGTAACCCATAGCAACAGTTCTTTGTACCCATGGAGAAGGTGCACATGCGCGCCAGAGAGGGATTGCTAAGTGACTGACTTGCCGTACTGTTGGAGACGTGTCGCTGCTGCCCTCCACTGGATGGGGAAGGGACAACATTATTGACTGTCGCCCGCAGCTTATTGTGTTTGTTTGTGCACAAAGATAATCCTTTAATGACACATTGAAAACATTTGCAGAACTGTTTATTAAAGTTTTGCATTTTAAAACACAATTGCACCCAGGGAGGGGGCTACATTTTTTTTCAGGACATTAACAGAAGAGACTGAACATTTGAAACCCGATGCGTCTTGGGGCCTTTTTCTGAAACACAAACATTTAAAAGTCTTTTCAACTGCAGCTGAACATTGTCTCTCTGTTTTTGAAGTCCCTGTGAAGACAGTCCTGCTGTTAGGAGAACTTTGACTTCTTTGACTTAACCTTCCGAGCCGCTGAACTGTCCTGCTGACTCGGAGGGGGGCCTTTGCTCCATGCCGATTGAYGGGGAGGCTGCGGCTTGCTGGAAGGTTCGGCGGGTCAGGGCTTTGAAGTCCTGGGCGTCGCTGCCTTCTTGAACGGAGGAGGATGAGATGCAGACCTGGATGTGCTCGGGTCCTTGAGCCTCGCATCTCGTCTGGGGATGATGCAGCGAAGTGCCTCAGCCTGCTTCTTCCTCTGTTCAAATTTGGTTTGGATGACATCAAGCGCTTGACCAAACAGTCCTGTAGGCGTTATCGGTTCATCCATGTAGGCCGCTCTGTCCTTGTCGGGAACGTCTGAGAGTATTAGCCACAGGTGCCTCTGCGCCACCACAGTAGAAGCCATTCCTTTCCCCAGAGCCAGCCACAGATGTTACAGAGCTGTACCTCCAGTTTAGCAGCAGCTCGGCGGCACAGGGACAAGAAGGACAAATCCTGGTCCACCCTCGCAGCAGCGGGGGTGGAGTGAGCTGGACACAGCTCCTCGTCATCTTCGGACAGACTGAGAACCTCCTGCTCCATCTGCAGAACATCGTCCTCCTCTTGGTTTAGATCCAGTAGAAACTGGGTCTCGCCCCCCTCGATGTCGGGTGAGGCCGCCTCGTGCTCCACCTGGTCCGCCCAGCTAGCGGCGGGGGCTTCGACCGCTGAATCCTCGTCTTCGTCGGACTGAGCCGTCTGGCTGGATTCGGAGAGCAGCGGGTCTTGTCGGAAAACAGCAGTTTCCCCCAGCATTTTCTCCAGGAATTTCACTCTCCTCTCCAGTGTCGGACGCGAAAGTCCGGCACAGGCCCAGCAGGACTCGGGCTCCACAAGCGCCTGTCGAGCATGAATAATTCCTAGGCAGGCCAGGCAGGCCTCATGCTGGTCCTTCTCATGAAGCTTAAAGCCGCACCCCTGAGGACAGGGGCGAACAGAAGACTTCAGCTTCTTCGAAGGTGGTTTTGTGCTCATCGTGAACCACAAAACAGATTTTCAGCAGAAAATAAAGGTCACTTAAGTAGYGTCGAGYGGCAGACACACRAACCAGCAGGTAACGYGGTTAGCACCAGTAAAGCTAGCCTAAGGACCTTCTAGAAGCTGAGCTAACTAGCAGCAGCTATGTGAACTCAGGTTTAGAGGTGACTATCGTGAGGTGAAGGGCGATAGAAATGAGTAATGATGCTGGTGACTCCGAACTTATAGGGTGAAGGCGGAGCCTGTCACCCGACGTTCAACGTCACCACGTCACCGGTCTAAAGACGTGATTAGAGGTGGCTTCAGCCAGACATGCGAGGGCGAGTGTGTCCCATATACAACTGTGTGTTGTACTGAGTGAAATGACTGAAAAGGAACCCATGGAGACAAAGCTTTTCAGATGTGGCCCCGAGGCTCTGGAACGCTCTCCCTCTGTCCTTTCACTGCTCAGATTCTTCTGACTGTTTTAAGAAACATCTTATTTTGATTCAGACAGGCTTTTAGTTGAGTTTTCTGTTATTTAAATTGTTCTATATTATATTTGTGACCTTTTGCTCTCTGTTAAGCACTTAGTGACATTTGTGTCTGTGAAAGGTGCTATAGAAATAAAGGTTACCAGTACTTACATACTGTCAGGTGGTTTAGAAAGTCTTATTTGTGAATCCTCAAGCATGAAGTTCATAAAAACCTTGAAGGATCTTTAAATAAAACCAAACTAATGCCCAGAGTCTGGTGACTGCCTCTGATAGAGGAACAGTCTCTGAAGTCACAGCATCTGTTTCCTGTTGTTATTCAGTGTATGTTTGACTCGACTCCTGTCTTTCTTGCAGAGGACCTTCCCGTACGTATCGGTGATGCTGGGAAACGGGACCCTGCTGTATGACCACAATCGTGATGGGAGACCCTCTGAGCTCGGAGGCTGCACAGCTTTGGCTCGCAACTCAGTTCACGACACATTTCTGTTGCTCAGATACTCCAGAAACAGACTGACGGTATGAAACAACCATTCATTACATCATCCAGAGCTTTCACAAGTGTTCATCCCACTTTTTAATTTGTTGTTTTACAACCTTGGATTTAACAGAACTTTTATTTATTTTATTAAAAACAAAAATTCTGTAAAGATGCTTCAGATTATTAAGGTTAAATGGGGTGGGAAACTTTGCTTAATATTTAAAAATGTACATCCAAAATAGAAAATAGATGCACTGCATTAACTCCATTTGAATGTCTGTCTTTTGTATTTGTTACATTTAAAAACAACAAAGTTGATCAACAATAAAGTAAGTTCAGTAAAAGTATCCAGAAAAATCAACAGGCAAAATAAAATATACGAAAACAACTTAAAACAGTGTAAAATAGTGAGTTTTCTTGTGAGATTTAAAGACTTGAGTGTTGGATTTAATTTATTTAATAAGGCTGGACTCAAGAATTAAACACTCTTATGGATTTATTGTAATAGGAGTAAAGTAATTACAAGTAAAGAAAAGAATGCAGGTTACAAGCTGAGCAGAAAGTGTGCAGATATTCTGACCTTAACTCACATGAGAAGTACTGTAAATATTTACCAAGGTTTGCTTAATTAGAAAGAGCCAGAGGAAGTGATCTCATAATTCAGTAGACAAATTAAACCTTAACTGTCAGAAGCTGTGACACATTCGGTTACGTTCACATATTTTAAGTACGACCTCCATCAGACTCCAGTGTGAGCCCCTCGCTGCACTGATGCCACCTGCATGTTGTGATGTCACGTTCAGCAATGGACACTACATGTTAGCATGTCCATTCTGAAGTAGTTGTGTAATCAGAGCAGTTTAAATAATGATCTGACAAGTTCAGTGTTTATATCTGACCCTACCTCTGGTCAGATGCTCCAGTGCAGCATTTTCAATTCAATTTAATTCAG